GGCAAAATTATCATATTTATCAAGAAATAATAAATGATGATTTGAATACAACAAATATATCGAATAATCATCGAACATGTCGTCCTTTAAAAATTGATACAAATTCACCACTAACATCATCGACAAATACAACAATGAATTCTGAACAGTGTCAACTATGTTCGCTTAGTGTACTTGTATGAAGTTTTTTTTTTGTTTTTTTTCATATAATAAGAGTATTCAGATTGAAATTGAAATTTCAAATTATTTTTTTTTTCAACATCATGTCACACTGTTAAGAAGATCGAGAATGAAGATGAGAGAAATGAATTCGATGATGATTTATCTCTTATCTTCATAATCTGTATGTTCTGTGTAACGATACTTTTAAAAAAGATTTTCGTAAGAAAAAAAACTTTTTCCGTACATAGTTTGTTAGTAGAGTCTGTCGGATTCAAAATTTTCTCTCAAAAATACGCGATACTTTTCTCTGTTTTTTTTTTGTTTTTGGTGACTAGCGTATCTTACACATTTCTCACGAGGAAAGGTTCCCAAATGTGACGTGCCGATCAAGTGGTTATTTTATTCATAGATAGACCTTATGACCATTAGAATGTCCTAAAAATTTTAGCCTAAAAGAATGTTTTTTTCTGGAGATATTGAGTATCCAAAAAAACGATATGTGTCACAAGAAACGTTCAAGACATCGAGTGTTGTCAAGATATAATATCTCAAGAAAGGATCATTCTTTTGAACTAAAATTTTCAGGACATTCGAAAGACCAGAAGATCTATCTATGGACAAAATTTCATAATTGAATTTTGATCATATATCCCTTGTCTGAGGTAGAAAATCGGTTGTAACCTGAGAAGAACAACGGATGAGAATGAACCCTTTTAAACTTCTTCTAGTTTTACTGAGACCTATTTGTGAGCAAAATATCGACTTAATTGACATATCACAGTTCAAAACGTTCCCTCCTCAGAGGACTAAAGTCCGTTGGATCCAAAATTTTTGAATCCATACCCGACAGGCTCTATTTGTTAGACATATTCCTTAGCTTTATCATTCTATGATCTATACTCATTCTTATTTATCACAACGTACAATTATTATCAGAAGAAGCTATATAATGAAAAAATTGACACAATGCCAAAATCAATAATGTTTTACTTTAAAAAGTCTTTTCGAAAACATGCATGAATTGATTTTTTTTCTGTGATAGGATATCAGATCGACTTCCATCGTAACTCCACAACGCATTTTTTATACTCAGGTTTTATCCAAATGTTGTCTTGCACATAGTATCATTTCATTCTATCGAGTAGCAATGACTCAAAGCAGTATATACGAACAATATCAATTGATCTTAACTATTGTGATTTTTAATAGTTAAGACTTGTAAACACGATATCATCATTTGAGATCTATAGGAATTCTGTATGCTTTCAGTTTGTAATAGATTAAGAAACAAAAAAATCTTTTTCAATATAGAAATCAAAAATAAATTAATTCATTTGTAAGTTATTTTATAAAAATATTGACAATAATAATGAGTACGCATGAGTTTAAGAAAATGACAATCCAACGAATTGAATTAAAAATAAAAAAAGATTTTTTTTTCTCAATATCTGACAATTTTTCATGTTAACCAAAGTTTGAGTCGATAAGCATCAACACCATTTAAATAATATCGATATAAACGTTTTTCACGTAAAAAACCTAAATTTTCATAAAAATTTAAAGCTGCATGATTAGTTACTTCAGCTTCAAGTACAATTTCATCACATCCACGTTTAATCATTTCTCTTATATTCATAAGAACAAGTGTTGATGCAATTTTTTTTCGTCGATAATCCTTCTTAATTGCTAACATTGCTATATAACCACGACGTAAAGTATTTTTATGCAGATCTAGTTTTGATACAATGGCACCGATTAAATCATTTGTTTGATGATTTGAACATAAAAAACATAAATCAGGCCAATTATGTATAAAATAACGATATGTATATATTGAATATGGTTCCGATAATGTACTACTAATTAAAGACATTATAGATGACATTTGTTTTTCTGATTGATATGAATGAAAATATATATTTGAGTCTAATTCATTATCAAGTAATAAATTATCAAGTCTTGTTATTAATTCATCATCATTTATTGATTTTATTGAAGATTCAGTTTCATGATTATCATCATATGGATAAATATCTTTATTTGATTGTTCATCTATATGATTTATTATAGAAGTATTATTAGATTGTTCAATTTGATGATCGGCAACATTAATAGTAGTAATAGATTCCATTTTTTTTAAATAATTTTGAAAAGAAAATAAATAAATAAAAAATATATATATATATATTATCATATTATGGAATGGCTGAACAGCAGACCATCCATATATTGAAATACTTAGTGACATCTACAATTCTGTTATTGACTAGAGGTTATTGATAGAGAAACAACTTTAAACATGATAAAAATTATTTGAGACAGGGCACGCATATCTTCATCAAGATTTATATTAATATAAATGTCTAATTCGCGACAAAAGTCTGAAGATAAAGTTCGACATATTCATTCACCATTAAAAAAAAGTAGTCATGAATTAGTAACTGCTCCTCCATTATCACAAATTCCATATCTTAATGGTGTATTCGATGATGAAACAACAAACGATCAACCAAAAATAATATATGTTCGAGAAACTGATTCGGATTATATACGTCGATGTAAATTAGGTGGTAGTTCTGATTTACTCGTGTATATTGATCCAGCAACATGTAAAAGTAAAGAACCAGTACCATATCCAAGACCACTTTGGTGGGATGCTATGTGTGAACAAATTCCATCATCACCAAATTCCGATAATGATCAACAACAAGAAAAAAAATCATCAAAAAGTGAACATGGATTTGGTGCTCCTGATTGGTTTGCTCATGATGAACGTAATCGTTCTCCGAATAAACAACAGAATAAAACTTCAAGAAAATCTCAATTGTCGACTTATACCAAAAGGAAATAATTTATTAGAACATTTAAAAAGAGAAAGGATATTTTTATTTTAAATTTGTTATGAATATTTATCATTTTTTAACAAATTTTAAATTAATTCGATAAAATGAAAGAAAGCGTATCAATTATAGAGAGAGTAATTATATAGAAGTAAATGTTGCGTTTATAAATATATTACTATGAAAATATTTGTTAGAAGTATGAAATAATAAGTGCTTGATTTTAGAAATAAGATATAATCTTTCCAATAAGCACTATAGTAACGATCGAATTCGCGAAATCATGATTACTCTAGTGGTTAGAAAACATTTCAAATAATCAATACTCAACAAAATACTTCTAATTATTCGGTATCAATGATTTAAATTATTTGACAACGAAAATTGTACTATAATATTGATTTTAGATAAAAATTTCATTTAATGGTGATTTCTTTAAAGATCCTGGGTAGAGCTCATCGGATCCAAAAATGTCTGGACTGGGATCCAGTCGACTCCAAAGTTTTAGATTCGGATCCGATGGGCTCTACTCCTGGTGAAAATCGGAAATAGTAGAAGATCGAGAGTGATTTTTCTAAATTGTGATATAACTCATGACGACTTCCAGTGAAGAATCTTTTTGAAAAACAAATCAGTAAATATCCTGCTTCCTTCGAATAATTGATAAAAGTCAGAAAATAAATACTCATTCAATTTTACATCAAATGATGAGTCAATTTAGCCAATATTGTGCGCTTTTTACCTATGCGACAATCTATTCAAACTATAGTCATATTATAAATTTATTAAGTATATTTACTTAGGCGTTAGCCAAAAATTCTGATCACGGTGTTTAGAATTTTATAAAATAGTTAATATTGAAAGTTTTATTGGATGAATACATTTCTTTTAGATAAGTATCGATTAAATTCATTAGTCATGTTTAATAAATTTTTTTAAAAATTGAAACCAAATTTTTATCCAAACTGAAAGAACTAACAAAAGAAATGAACTGACAGAGGAAGATCTTTCACTCTTTGTATACTATTGAAATGTAACATTCTAGAACATCACATCAGAAAATGTCACACAAGAGAGAGAAATGAAAAATGAGAAAAGTTCCAGAATATACCCGAGTGTTGTATAAGGAATAGTCAAACATACGTATAGTCACTATATTATAGACTTTATCTAAGAAAATGTTAGAATTGAATTCAAGATAAAGTTACTATATACATTATTGTAGACAATGCATTCTAATATGTATTCATGCAATAAAATCCTCGTTATTATCTATTTTATAAAATTTTAAACACCACAATCAAAACTTTTGGTTAACTCTAAGTATGTTTGATCTCTTTATTTGTGTATGAATATTGTTCATAGTTGATCATTTGAGATATTGCATATCACATGAGAAAATCATATATTTTACTCGATGAATATATATTATAATGGAAAGCAAAAGTATTACCAACAATTAAAGCATTTTTATTGACATGTTTCATTAACAAATATACTTGACATCATCAATCATATAGAATGTCATATAAAATAATCTTAAAACTAGATATCAGGTAGACAAAAGAAATGCTTTGGATGTTGATGATGATGTCAATTGTTTTTATAGATGAAATGCTTCAATTATCATTCTAAAAAATAAACTTGAAATGTTACAGTTACGAATCCTTGATTGTTCACGTCAATCTCAAGATTGTTCGAATAATTGTGTACTGTACGATCATGCATCGTAGAGACTTTGAGATTATAATCAATAATGTAACTCTTTAGTCAATGGCGGGTACAAATTTATTTATATTCAAAAAAAATAATATATATATATATATATATATTGATAAAAGACACGTTGCTCAGTTTATTATCTATTTTGCCAGCGATACAATCATGAACGATAATATTCTATTACGTTTATGGTATATAACTTACTACATATCGAGTCTTCTTATTCCATTCATGATTGTCTTTGGTTTTATCTTCAATCGTTTTAATATTTTCAATATGATTTTTGGTATTTTACCATGTATTTTTCAATTTACAATGTTTTTAGGTTTAAAATTACGTAATCATAATGCTCTCTTTATATATTCAACGAAACTTTTAACAATTGTACATTTTTGCACATTTATTTATTTTTTATATGTAACTCAAACATTAACAAATAATATTCGATACGATCTTGAAAAAGATATTTTTACTAATCATACTAAATTGAAATATAATATGCAAATAAAAATTTGTAAGTGATCAAACAATAATTAATCTCGACAAAAAAAAGACACGTATTGAGTTAATTTATAGACAAATGTTGTCAGTTAGATAGATCATCATTAGATAAAACTTTTTCATATTTTCAACAACATTATCCTAATCATTGTCAGAAAAAAAATCAGGATAATAATAAAGCATGTTGGCCATTATTTCAATTAATGTCACTTCTAACGAAAATAATCTATTGGTTAACATGGTTTTTCCTAAGTATTCTACTTATTATTGCTTGGATTTATTATCACCGACTAGGAAAATTGAGTGAGCAATCACATATACCATCAAGAAAAACTTTACAACAATTATATAGTGAAATTCTTTTGAAAAATCGTCCATTTAAAATGTTTTTGAGACAAAATAACAACATGCAAATAAATACAATAACAAATGAGAATATTGTGAAAGCATCGACATGATGAATATCATCGAATATTATATAAAAATTTTACTGAAAAACAACAAGTATTAAAATTTTGTTCAATCAATAAACATCGATATGAAAGATTCTTTTTAAAATAAAACGATCATTTATGATCCATGTTAAAACAGAAGAATAGTGTTTGTTTTGTTTTCCTGTAAATAATTCTGATACAAAAGCAGCTATGTATCTGTGGTTTTCATCATGAGAAACAGACGATCGCTATAATATCTTTTCATATCATAGTTATTTGTGTCAGGTTACAAGTCTCACAATAAATCGGTTCAATTCGCAGAAGGACTTAAACTTACACATGGAATATGAATAGAATTTTATTTATAACGAATGCATTAGACTTTTGTATTCATGATTTAATATGTTACGCAAATTCCATAATTTCTATATTGTTTTATCCAGATGTTTTATATCCTATAATCACGGTCACAAGTGTTTCAAAACACCTTTTACAAAATTTTTTCAAGTCTGCCAACAAAAAAAAATTAGGCTCTTAATCATTCTTAATAGAACGGAACGATTCATTTTGTAACAAAATTTACTTTTGTTTGATTCAACGGATATTAATTACATTACATAACTATTCTACAACTCTATTTTTCAATCATGATCATCCAACACACTCGTATATATTGAGTATCATCGTACTAAAGAGTGTCTTAGGAAGAATGAGCCTCTCTATATTTAAAGCATATCTCTTTTTTAATATCCGTTTCTTCAGATTTTATTTCTTTTTCAAAGACTCATCTTTTAATTGTCTACAAAATCGTGTAATTATTATTAATGTAAATGACATCCATCATTTTACAGGATACATGTCCAACAAACAGTCAAATGTGAATAATTTTATAAAATAAATTTTTATCTGATTATTTTGGTCACATCATTCAGTTTTTGTATGGCAGCTTCTATCATCAATCTCATTAAATATTTACCCGCTGTTAACTGTTATCAAAGTTTAATACTAATAATACATTGAAGCCGATTCTATATAAATACAGACTTTAAGAGAGGATCCACCACAGCACCGACCATAGCTGGCACCTGTCAACAGGCCCCTCGATGTGGCGGGAGGCTGCCGGGGACTAGCTCCCGGCACTTTTTGAGTGTGTCTGCGAAATTTTTAGTAGCGCTAAGAGTTCGGATTGAAAGGGCCCGGCTGTCGCAGAGGTACTTCAGTACGCCTAGAAAATCTTGTTGAAGACCTTTTTTTTTTGCTCTTCACTTCTGACTTTTGGGAAAATTAGGGGAGCATTTATGAGTAATGTCTGCGAAAAATTATTAGCCCCCGGCACTCTTGAAAACAATCGAGAGCCCTGTCTGTCAAATTTTATTTTTTTCTCTCTGTTTGCTAGATCGATAGAGCATATTATGAAACTAAGAAAATCAAAATATCTTGTTTTGA